TAGTATCCTCAAAGTATCCAATCCAACTAATTCTGCAGCCAGTCTTTTTTTCAATATTTAGTCTCATCTGTTACATTCAGTGCATCTATTACAATCAAAAAGATATCCTCATTTCCAAAACAGCTCATTTAGATGTAGAAGAAAAAAAAAAAAAATTTGATAAATTTTTGTTAAGGATGGTTTTCCTGTCCTTTTTTTTGGTTGGTTTTAGCACCTTGTTTACTGTCTTAGGTATTTTTTTAATAAATGTAACAAAAAAAAGTAAAATGATGAATAATTTATTTTTAAGTTTTTATGCCATTAAAATTTTTTTTTTTTTATGTAAACCAAAAAGTTTACAATTGATATTGGATTAGAATGGCCAGTTTTTAGTATGGGAATAATTCCAGCAGTATTATTGGTTATAGGATTTTTTCCACAATTTTATGAAGTATACGGTATAAAATTCTATTTTTTATTTTTTTAAATGAAGATTTTTTGAAAATTTTATTTTTATAGTTTTTAAACGGGTATTAGGAATATCAAGATTATTTATGGTTTTAGATATCATAGGAGGAGTGTCAAGCTTTTGTGTTTTAACACTTAAACCATTTGACGCACTTGCAATTATAACTGCTTCAACATGTAAAAAAAAAATTGAATATTTTAAATAATAGATTTAAGTTTTAATTTTTAAATTAACTTTTTTTTTTTTTTTAGATCTTTCTGTGGTTTTTTGTGATTTGATATTAATATTTTTATATTTTTTATTAGAACATCTACAGTTGTATTCATAGAAAATATCAGATCTATATGTATTTTAAAGCAAGTTTATTGACAACAAATAAAATTGTTTGAGCATTTATTAGTTGATACAATGCGATACAAAAAACACAAAACTGGTTAGTTGATGCAGCGCTGGTTATTTCTTCCAAATAATTTTGAGTTTTTTTTTAGAATAGCTTTTTTTGGAAGAATAAAAAATTTAACAGAGAAAATTAGAAAAAGTAAGAAGTAGTGTACCGTGTTACACAAAAGAAGTTAAATAGATTAGAGATGTTTTTTGAAATTTGACGTTTCAAATATCAAAAGATGATTTTTCATTCTTGATTAAAGATATAAATTTAAATATTCAGCATTTTCCATCTAAATCATGTTTCCAAAAAAAGCAGCTAAAAAGTTAAGGGAAACAAAAAAGGAACCTTTCTCGCAAAGCAACAAAGGCTAAATAAGACGCAGTGGAGAACTACATATGAAAAAGAGTAAAGTACTTCAATTTTAAATGTTATACAAAAGCAATTCATCCCAATTTCACTATCACCCAGGTATGAAAGAGTTATAAAATAAAAAAGGAGTTTATGTAAAGCTTCACGAAAATCTAGTTTTGCAAAACTATTTTGACAACAATCGAAACAGCCATAACAACGGCAGTTCAAGCACTTCATGAAGCAACTATTAGATTTAATATTGCTACGTCTCTTGTTATGGAACAAGACCAGGTTGAACATTGCATTAATTAAATCTCGTAAAATTACTGATATTGTAAAATTTTTCAACAATCACTGAAACTTAATTGGTCAGAAAAAGTGCAAGATGCCAATTTCCACATTGTTAAAATTGAACTTTTAACGGAAGTAAAGCTTATTTGGCAGATTTACACTAGATTTACAGTTATTGAGACATAATCGAAAAATGCCGCTGAGTTGGATATAGAATACAACATTTGTGATGGCAGATAAATTATATTTAAGAACTTAATGAATTACCGACTGTGACTGATAACAGTATTCCAGATCTAATACTTTTACCGAAGGGGAAAAGCAGATAAATTGTATCCGATAATTTGAAATCGTTGTAGAACAACTTTATTTTCAAAACAAGGTTTATGTAATACTAAAAACTTTCACATCTGCTGAAGTTAAAGTAATAGTGAAAATTAAGGGTATGTCATGGAACATTATGATAACTTTTTGAATGCTTTGTTAAACTGTTTGGAGTAGACAAATTAATGTCAAAATTAGTGAATTCTGAGAATTCAAATGTGGTAAGTTCAGAATGGGGTGGACTCGCTGTTACCCTCTCCCTGTGATTCAAGAATAATGTAGCAACTTTTTTGTGTGACCTGCATCACCAGTTGTACAACCCAAAACTTATTTCTGTTTGAGATGGAAATTTTGAAATAGATTTTTGATTTTATCAATCTTGTAGCTGCCCGTGGCTGCCAACTGCTACTGCCAACTACCATCAACGCACTGCCAACTACCTGCAACAAGGGCACTCCCAAGTTCACTTGCAACAAGACCAAAGTCCCTTTAAAGCTCTTCTATAACCAATTCAATCCTCTCTTTTCCTCTCTTTTCAACCACATTAACATCACTCAATCAACCTATTCCATAACAATCTGAACCTAATCAATAACAATCTTCTCGCTACTGCTTCTTGATGAACGGTATCCTCCTAAATGTTGATTTCCTCACCGTTTTCTCTTTTTTTAGTTACTATTCACTGTCGTTGGATCAACTGCAACTTAACCTTTAAGTCTGAACTAGATACCTATCATCACTGTCATTTAAATCACTCAGTGGTAAATATTCATTTTTTTATTTCTTTTTATTTTCATTTTTTGAAATACCCATAGTCTGGTAAACAGTTTTGCAAGTGGATTTCAAAATTTCATCTTGGAGTTAATGCTGAAACCTGTAGTGTTAGGTAACTATAAATTTTTTTTTATCTAAAAAAAAAAAAAAAAAAAATAGATTACAACATAAAGGACAACTAAAGGATCATTTAATCACGGTAAAGATTCTTTTTTGTTTTATTTTTAATTCTAATTAAATTTTTTATTTTATTTTATTTTTTTTACTTCCTTTCTCTTTAGCATTTTCCTCCTGATTTTAAACCCATCCCGTGCAAGGTAATGCTTTATATTTATTATATATATATGTATTTATAGATTAAAAAAATAAAAAAGTATCCAGGATGTAATGTACATGTAAGAACTAGGCAAAATTTAACTACACATATAAAAAGTGTACATCAAATAGAAAAACTGTATTTAGAAAATACGGATAGTATACCATTAAACGATGGAAAAAAAATTATCAAAACCTATATTGGGAAAAATAGCGAAAATGATGATACCTACAGCAATATAATAATATCACAAACAATTCAAACTAGTTTTAATAATATATCTGAATCTTCATTTCTTATTGACAGTAGAAGAAAAATTGAAAATATTATCAATTGAAAAAAAAAAAAAATTAAATAATAATATAAATTTTATTCCTTTTTTTAAATTTCTTTTTTTTTATTTTTTTTACATTTTTAATTTTTTTTTTTTTATTATTTGTTGTTGATTTTTTAAGTTAAAAAAACCTAAAAAATAATTGATTAGTATGTAATGAAACTGCAATACACCTGAAATTGTTATAATTAGTCCTGTAAAAACATTAAAGTTGCCACAGCGCAGGTATAGATTATTATTTGCTAAATAAGATGGATAGTGGAATAAAAAATTTACTACAAACTTTTATACATACCTTCTTGACATTAAAATTTAATAATTACGTTAATAGCTTTAATGCTATCAAACTTTTTTTTTTCTGTATGAAAGTATGTTCAAACAAATGTTAAACCAAAAAGTATGCTAAAGAAACTACAACAGAAAAACAAAATTTAAGTTGCACTCAGAGTGAAAAAAATCGTCGCCTACAGGATTTGAACCTGTGCGCGGAAACCGCAATTGATTTCTAATCAATCTCCTTAACCACTCGGACAAAGCGACTTACCTTATTAAAGGTTTTACAATATTTCTTTTTAATTAATTAGTTTTTTAGTATATAAACCTAAGTTGTTACACAATAATCTTGATTAATTTATAACGACTTTAAGTATTAAACTTACTAATTCTTTTTAATTAATAAAGATTATTTTATAACGAATTTAGACTATAATATTAATAATTCACGAAAAGCATAACAATTATAATTATGGTTTCAGCTTATATGTTTTCTTTTAATTAGGATTAAAAAATTCTTCAAATTTGTTAATTTTTTTAGTTCAATAAATGCTACCAATTAATTTTGGTAGTATCATTTTTTTAAAATTTCCAATAATTAAATATTTAATTTCCAAAAAAAAGTTTTATTGTTTCATTTTTATTTTTGTTGTATAAAAATAATTAAAATTTAAAAAAATAATTTTTAATTTTTTTTTTTTTACAAAGTTTATTTTTTTAAAAACAAAAACACAACTAGTTACATACAAAATTTTTCTTAAAAAAAAAAAAAAGACGCTATTTAAAATAATGACCATTTACTTTTTGTTTTGTCAGGGTTATAGTCTTTGTCACTACTGTTATCTAAGAAGTCGGAATCACTCTCAACATCATGTCTTGGGATACTTGCAATATCCTCCTCTGAGGTAATGGTATTTGCATCATTTTCATAATCAAAGTCATCATCACATTCTGAAATGCTTTCTTCTTTGTCCAGCATTGCAATGGAAATCTTACACTCTTCTTTGTTGGTAGATTCAGTTCTATTTCCACAATCTGAAGTATATTGGCAGTTTTCCTTAGTTTCAGTGGCAAGTTCAGTATTAAAATCAACATTTTCAGGAGATATTTCATTGTTTGATTCAACTTTATCGATGCCTTCAAAGTTTTTTGCCATGATCTCTTCTTCAGTTTCTATTTCTGTAGTTTCTGGAATTTTTTCAACAAATTCAATCTCACTCATACTGTTATCACTGCTACCTTCAGCTTTGGTGTCTGCGGCTGTATTTAGCTTTAAAAAGTCCATATTCCAGAAATTATTTTTTTTAGGTGAATTAGGAGCGAAATTTTCTAAAATTTGAATAATTTTACTCTGCTCAGATATAATTGCATTTAATTTTTTTAAGATTGCATCAGAAACTTCCAACTTTTCAATGTTGTTGCTTTTATTTGACTTTTTTTTACTTTTATTTTTTATGCTGATATTCAATTTGGTTTTGCCAAAACTGTTTTTTTTCTTTTTTAAATGTATTTTTGGTGCACTTTTCAAAGGTTGTTTTTTCACTTTTTTTGTGTTTATTGGTGAACTCATGGTTTTAATTTTCTTAGTAAAAATAGGGATGGGTTCGACAGCATTGATCACTTCTTTTTTTATCATTTTTTCAATATCATCGTTGCTGAATTTTCTTTTCAAGGATTTTCTAGTTGTCATCACCATTTTAAATTTTATAATTAGATATTATTTTTTCAAGTATTAATAATTAAACTTATAATTTTTGTTTTCTTATTGATTTTATAGTAAATTTTATTTTGTGCAATTTGATGGTGTCACTTTTACACTTAGAGATTAAGCATCAAAAATTTTATTTTAAAAAATATTTTAACTACAAATTTTTTGGCCAAACATGTCAAATCCCAAAAATCCAAAATTTTTGACAAACATATTCCATGTCTTAAAAAATTTTGGTGCATTGGCTAAAAATCTTGCATTCAAAACTTTCAGCAAGTTTAATATGTTAGAGAATTATAAAAAAAAAAAAGTAATAAACTTAAAATTTTTTCTGGATATAAAAACACCTTAAAAATAAAAAAAATTTTTTAATAAAAGAATCAGTAGAAAAAAATAAATTTTATACTAGAAAAGAAAGATATGATACTTTTATACATAAATAAAGATTAAATTAATTTAAATCCATCACTTTCACATGAGGCCATAGTGGCATCTAGGTATTTACTAATCTCATTACTTTTTTTTTTCAAATTTAAAAAATCAATAAAAAGTTTGTACGTTTCCAAGTTTCTGAGTGGTTTATTACAATTTTTGGATAAAGTATTCTCATTATTACTTACTGTAGACATATCTAAAATAAAAATAAAAAAGTTAAATTATTTATTCCCTAACAAAAAAAAAAAACCGTTGTAAATTTTTCTAGCTTCATATAGATCTCCCAAGTTTAAATATCCTCTAATCATAGTATTATCTAGCAAGGTATCTCTCTTAACTTAAAAAAAATTTTTAGAAAAAAGTTAAAGAATTTACTTAAATAAAGAAAGAAAAAGTGGTTTGTTGCGTTAACGTTAATTACCATTGTAATATGCTTCCAAGTTATCATATACATCAAATGCTAACTCTGCTTTGTCACTGTTAAAGAAGTTTTCTATCAGAAGCGCCAAATGTTTACTTTCCAGTAAACCGTTATCTTTCATTAGCGAGATAACCTCTAAGGCTACTCTTAGGTCACCTTTTTTATCAGTGTTGGGGCTGTTTGAATTAAGACTACCAGTTAAAATCGGCTCAAAATGCAGCTTTGAATAACTACCACTGTATTTCTTTTTTACTTGAGCTAATGCCTCCAAATAACCATCCTTTTTTAAGCTAACTAATGCACGAACTATATAAATTAAACTTTCTGAATCGAATTTAATAACATTTTTTGAATTATCAAAACAATCAACTCTTTCTCTCAAGAGTAGGTAATATTTGTGCAACTTATTGAAATCCCCTAAACGGTAACAGTATTTTAATATAGCATTGAAGTGTTTTATCGTAAGAAGTTCTTGTCGTGCGCATTCAAAAAATAACTCTTTCATTGCAGATTCTCTTTTTAGCATTTCTTCATTTGTGATATTTTCGAAATTAGAATCACCTATACAACGTAGAATTAGTAAATAATCGTTTGGCTCCAACTTTGCTTTTTGGGTTTTTAATAATCCAAACACTCTTAAACTTTCTGCAATGTTAAATGAAGATTCATTTTGCAAATATTTAAACCAGATATTATAAACAAGTAGACTTCCACTTTTTATGTAAAGAGAATTCCAAGATTCTATTAAATGATGCAAAAACTGCTGGTCTTCGTCATTTTCACACTTTTTAAAAAACATCTCCAAAGTTAAATGATGGACTGTGCCAATAGGAAGTTTATAAAAATAATCCTTAGCAATCGCGATTTCTTCCCCTAAGCAGTATGCTCTACAGGCGGCATTCAATAATTCAATCTTTAAATTTGTTGCAGCTTGAGGTTCGGTATTTCTGAGGGCATCAATATAGCTCAGTTCTGATTGAATTCTAGCATCTGTGTCAGCAAAATTTCTTTCTTGTCCAGATGCTTCCATTAAACGCAATCTTGCTGTATAAGAAATTGGGATTGCGGAATTCTTACAATCCGACTCTAATGCAAATGCCTCTTTTCTATATAAATTTTAATTATCGTAAACCAATTCATTTTATAATATATCTACCTATTACCCTTGTTCAGAACTTCTTTAATTACTTCTGATCTACCTTTTACCAGGTCCATGGACTGTAAGTTGTCCTGAAATCGATCTTGCGGTTTCTGCGAATCCAACTTTAATGACGGAAGCAGATCGAAATCAAAAACTCCAGCATCGCGAAGTTTCGCTCTCCACGTTGTTTGCGCGGATTTATCTTTGACTGCAACCAGATATTTGTTGACTGCTTTAAATGTTTCAATATTTGGTTTAACCTGCATGAGGTCAACTATTTTGCATACTGTCTGTAAAATATTAGACTTCAACGAAATACAGTAAGATAATAAAATATGATATTCTTTAAGGGTCAAAGGTTTTTGAACCGTCTGTGATAAAAATGACTCTATAACAATTTTGGCTTCCTTTGCACTAGGCTTTCTATTCTGCCGCGCATTTATGTAGCCTTTTGAAAGGTCAAAAATTTCTGTAAAGTTTCCACCTTGTAAATGCAAGGCATTCAGTAAATCTTCAAAAACAAAAAAAACTTTTTCATTTCGTAGTGGGTATATCAATGATTTGAAAAGCTTTAACGCCTCCATAGTTTTTCCTTTTTCAATTAAAACTTCTATTAAAATTCCCACAGCTACGGTGTTTGGAGTGGAACCTTTGCGTTTTTGAATTTCAATAAATTCTATTGCTTCCTCTGTCATTTTGTTTAGGGTATAAAGAAATAAAGTGCTTTGACGATTAATCACATTTTTTTCTAGTTTCGCGCAAATTTTCTGTACTGTCACTAGGTCGTAGTTGTTTAAAGCACCGTTCAACATAATAATGTAAGTTTCATGCCGTGGTTTGGGTAAAAATGTTTCAAAGTGTAAATCCGAAAAAAGTTCTAACGCCTCTTCATAATAATTTTTAGAGTTTAAAAATCCTTTCAAAAGAGTATCATAAACTAAAATGCCAATTTCGAATCCTCTCTTCGACATATTAGTTTTAATAAATTCAAAAGCTTTTTCCTTCATTCCTAAATTTGCCAGTGCATGAACAAAAGAAAGGTAAATTTTAAAGTGTTTAAAGTATTGAGTGGACGCAGTAAGAAACAGAGTAGTAGTATACTCAAAGGTTCCTATTTCGCCTGATAATTGAATTGCATCGGCATGAAGTTGCATAGGAATTGGTATATCTTTTTTTCGGTAATATTTTTTAAGTTCTATAAAACCTTCCAAATCTTTAAAAAGAGAAAAAATTTTCATTAATTCCGTTTGAAAAATTTTATCCCTTAAAATGTTTTCCTTCATAAAAAATGGTAACAGCTCTTTAAAAAGCTCCTTCATTGCGGATGCTTTTTTTTCCCACGATGTTGTAACAGGAATCCTTACTTTCTTAAATTTGTCTGGGTTTATTAACTTAACTCTTTTTGCGGTTTGTAAAAATGCATCAAATTCAGAAAATTGAGTATGAATCGTATAAACCTTTTCCACTATATGAAAAAAAAATTTAAAAAATGATAAAAAAATTAAAGAAAACTTTTTTTCAATTAATTATTGACACAAACGTTTTAAACGATTTCAATATTT